TCTCTCTCTCTCTCTCTCTCTCTCTCTTTTTCTCTCTCTCTCTCTCTGTGAATTTCCTACGTTTATTGTATCCCATAGTTGTTCGAAGTGCACAGCAATGCGAACGATGTATGCGAATATATTTTTTGTTTTCGTTTTTGTTTTTTAAAACGGAACTACATAGAATGAAGTGGGTAAATATAGTGTGAAAGTGCGCGCGTGAAAAGAGAGGAAGGGGGAGAGAGAAAGAGAGATACGTCTAGAGAATGAAAGAGAGAGAGAGAGAGAAAGAGAGAGAGAGAGAGAGAGAGAGAGAGAGAAAGAGAGAGAGAGAAGGGGGTGGGGGGAGGGGTGTACATTACACCTTGAAGAAACAGAATTTTGAAACAATAAGCGAGTCTTGTCATTTAAAACATTCATTTTAACACAGACACACACACACACACACACACACACACACACACACACACACACACACACACACACACACACACACACACATATATATATATATATATATATATATATATATATATATTATTATATATGAATATATATATACACACACACACGCCGAGACATTCACACTAACCTTCAAACTTTGTATTTGGGTAGAAACATTTTATGAAGTCATGTTAGTGACAAATCCTAGGTCTGACCTCCATCGCGCTTTATATTCTCAACAGTTTTACTTTTTTTTAAAAAACTTTTCGTGCTATCATTTGTGTAGCTGCGCAAGGAAATCCGTTGCTTCTCGAAGGAAGTTATTCCGATTATTATGCACGATTCAAGCCAATAAAGAGTCATTTGGAAAAAAATCAAGGTTATACCGGAAAATTAAACGTGTGCATTTTTTGTATCGTTTCAAAATATAACATCGGTGAAATATGGGTTTAAAAACATTATTGCTTTATGCTTTCTTGTCCTTACCCTAAATTTAACAAACGGCTGTCTTTGTTAAACGGTATTTTCTCCTTCGTATTTTTTCTCTTTCATATGTCTTCAAATAATAGTCTTAACTTTAAACCGCTGAAGGTATTGGTGTAAAATAAAGCGAGAATTACAGATTAGAATGCATGGTGTCTTAAATCAGAATATGTGCGTATCTCAATACGCAAATTTTGATATATGGGAAGGATTTTCTTGTGTTGAAAAAATGAGAAAGAAAGAGAAAGAGGGAGAGAGAGAGAGAGAGAGAGAGAGAGAGAGAGAGAGAGAGAGAGAGAGGGAGGCGGAGAGGGAGAGAGAGAGGGAGAGAGAGAGAGAGAGAGAGAGAGAGAGAGAGAGAGAGAGAGAGAGAGAGAGAGAGAGAGAGTTTGAAAGAAACTCATTCAAGGAAACTGGACAAAGAGAATACTCCACACGCCGTCAGAGAGAAATAAGAATTAATTTTCTTTTTCAAGACCCATTTCCTTCTTTTTTCTTTAATTGAAAGGGGGAGGGGTTGACAGAGGGGTCAGCTGGAGAGGAACATGTAAGAGAAGTGGGAAAATGCCATAAGGGTGCCAATTTACTGTAGGGCTGGAGCCTGGGTCTCCGATAAAATCTTCACTTTGTTAACGTCAGTTAGTCTATCAACGGTATTGGGCAAAATCAGAGCGATTTTTTCTCACCCTGAAACTATTGATAGGAATTTGTCTTCGCAATCCAATTGGTTGATACGCAAAAAAGCGCTAGTTTAAGACTACATTCTAACCTCAGCCTACTAGCAACACTCGTTGGGGGCTTGACCGCAAAGTTACGTTAAAGTTTGAAGGAAACGAGAGCTTGATTTTCATCGTCAACTCTGGCACAGATTTCTATTCTGTATGGGCACTAGATGTAAAACTTTTTTTTTGGTCGAAAAAAACGCACTGCTGTAAATGAGAATCTAACAGCAAAGATTAGTCAGTGCCTAAATTCTTTTCCGCATGTGGAGTATGCAAATGGATACACCTTTTTAAATACACACATGATGCGACCCATCTCTTTGCAGTGCAAAACAAATTTTAATTGAACCAGTTATACACATAACCTTACACACTCATGTATACGAGTATGCACACACGTACGTGAGAGAAAAATGTATAGTAATTTCTTAATCGTATTGAAAAAGAATTAATTAGCATATAATAAATCACAATAAACTAGAAAAAATAACATTGAACGAAATAAGATATGATCGCAAAAACAATCAAAATTGTCTTCAGAAATGAAGAAAAAAAGACGGCCGGTGAGCTGTCGGACGCCCACAGGCCTGACATCGCGGCAAATTATGGTACTTTTCTATTCTTTGTCGCGTATGCCGGTTGTAAGCAGGCTTTCAGTAGCACAGGCAGTCGTTAGAAAAGAGATATGCGCAGGTCATGACAGACACACAAGAGCTGAATCTTTCAAGTGATCGCAGCACTTGTCTATTTACACCTAAGGTACTTACTTCCAGGTAACACCAACGAATCCGGGTGGTAATAATCAGTCCACATTATGAAAAGTTTTTGTTGTTGGTTTTTTTAGATCAAATCCTTGTCCGATATGGTTTGGAACATTTCAAAGGTGCAAGGGTGAGGGTACTGATTTACCTTCGTAAAGGGATTTTAAAAAACTTACATTTTGGCAGAATGTGATCATACCCTCCAAAATCAAACATGTTTGATTTTCTGGCTCATGATCGCTTCCAGTTTTATGAATTTGGGACCAAACAGCAATCAAAAGGAATTGCACATTTAGGGGTTGTATCTTTTGAATGCTACTGGCGCTAATTGACTTACTTCAATGAAGTAAAATAGACTGCGCACTGGCCAGCCATTTAACGTAAGCAAAGCTGCTCATGCGTTAAACCAATGAGCATTCGTTGTAAGGCAAATATGAGTCAATGTATTTCCAGACGGGACTTCTGGAGTAACCTTTATCCCTTTTGACCTCTTGGTAATGCCATGGCATGCATCACACATGCGTCATTTGACTTTCTGGGATATCCTAACATCAACTCTAGGCTATAGCCCAATGACTCTCGAAATGTCATTCCTATTCGGCCCATGGGTGATTGTAAATGTTTTACGACCTCATCGACACATATTATATAAATTAGTAGGCGGGCTGCTGAACACTGCCTGTGAGGTTCTACCCGTTGGATAAAGCGTCGCCGAAGAAAAACAGAAATACTCGACAGTATTGACGTTTCAAATTTAGAATCAAACTTTCGTGTGTTTGCTTGCAATCGTGAAGTGCCTAACCACTGTAAGACAGACGCTGGCAACCCTATTGGGCATTTTTAGGGATTCTCTTCACAGACAGCAGAACCAAATGAAACCTTGAGGCCGCCAAGAGCAGCCGAACAAGACCGTTGCCTCAGCCAGGGGCGGGACACGTTCCTCAGCAAGAAATCAAATCTCTACTAAAATAATTGTATGAGTACCATGGTGCAGAACTGCTGTGGCCACTCTTTGCGGGCACTCGAGATGCCTTCCTTTCTCAACCACCATTGAATCAATGACGTTTTCCTTCTTTCCTTAAAAAAAGTATAAGTTAGAAAAACGTGCTTATATCTACTGCGTTTTAAATTATTATGTATGCAGAAATAACGCCTTGCTCTTCGCTTCGTAAAAGGATTTTGACGTGCAAACTTTGTATTCCCGGTTTCTTTTCTCTCTGATAGCTGATTGTGAAAAATAATTATGTAAAGACAAACTGAATTTCTTAAATTGTGTTATCGAGGCATGATGCATCTCAGATCCAAAGCAGAGATGTTTGGGTGAGGGGAGGGGGTGTCAATTATTAATGTCCTCTTTCTTTACTATTTCACTGTCGTATTTTGCTGTCTCACATGGATTCTTTTCCTAAATTAACAAATGACGTCAACATTGCTTTTTTGAAATTTGAAAACACGATGCCCGAAGAAAGTATTACGTTTTTCACAACCAAATCCATTCAAAATCTAGGGTTAACACTATTAACAGTCATACAGATGGATAATTGTTTTGTTGGACCAGTAGTTTGGGAGCGTAAAACAGCGTCGGTATACACATTTGAAATGTTTAACTTCTTCGGCTTTAAAGAATAAGTCAACTCCTACATAGGTTAAACTTCCGCTCAACTGGGAAAACCTTCTACAAGGGTGGGTGCAAGCGATCCTGTTTCCATTTGGCTAGAGACATCTGGAAATCGTTTACAGCTCCTCATCTCATTTTATAGAAAGTGAGGAGGTGGGTATTAAGTGGTGACACCCCCTTTTCCCAAATAACAAACAGTCAATATTCAGAGCTAGACCACCCGTCAGCCATTGTAATTCCTTCTCATCTACACCCCCAAACAACCACCACCCTCTCACACTTCTCCCACTCCGCGCGAGAACAGGAAATGGTCAGTCAGAAAACATCTGTCTCGTAACTCGCTCTCAGTGCTGTGCCAAAATACAGAGTAACGGACAACTGTGAGTACGTCAGATAAGACTGAAGCTATTTTCAAATAGATGAGAAAAGACATGTTGATTGCTTATTTATCTCGTTTCCAAAGCAGGTACTGAGGGCTGAGACGAGAAACAGAAGTTCTTGTTTCTATTTCTAATGACTTGATGGGGTCCGATGAACACTCTTTGGCAAAATGAAATATATACGTGTATACACTGATTCGCTAAAATTGATATTTAGAATAATGAATAAATAGATATACCGATGAATGAACAGCAGTAGAAAAGAGAAAATAAGCGGAACAAATCGGTCAGGCACATACGAAAATAGTGAATAATAACGACCTTCTCCTCCATCCCATTTGAACAATCACAGCATCTAAAATGTCCCTTCAAAACGTTTGTTTCCGATTAAAAAGGGAGAGTCAAGCATTCATTCGTTTGACAAATAGGCAGAAGAGCAGATTAATAAGATCCAAAAATTGGGGATCTAAAGAGGCTGCCACGATTATAATAAAAATACACTTAAAGGATAGACATCTAGAAAAAATATCGAGACAATTCATTTTAAAATGAAAGAAACATCACAAAAATCACGTATACCTGTAATTAGAATTAATCAAGTAGCTTAACTTACCTACTGAACTTGTCTGAAAACGATAGAGAATTCTTGGTCTGATGCTTTCTGCCACAACCAACGACTGTGTGCGCTGACAGCTATTTTTGCAAATAAAATTAAAACGTCTTTTATGGGTTTTCTGCCTCCTTTCAATCTGACACGTCAGTGCGCGCAAGGAGGACCAGCACAGAGGTCGCAGGAAAGACCCACGTATGTGAAATAGAGTGTAAGTTTCGCGCCAACTTTATAGACTGCTGTGACGTCAGACGAGGAGGCGTGAGATGGGCTGGCGGGAGTGAGAGAGTGAGGGAGTAAGAGAGTGAGAGAGTAAGAGAGTGAGTGAGTGAGTACGTCTGTGTGAGTGTGTGCGTGTGTGTGCATCGATCTGTGTTCTGATCCTCTGAAAGGAATGAGCGGGGCGGCTGGGGGTAATTTTGGGGGGAGGGGGAGGGAGAGGGTAATGCGGGATGTTGGTTTGGTTTTCCATTAGAGATAACCGGGGCGGTTTGGAGGGTCGGGGGGTTCTATCTTTTCTTTCCTGATGCTGTAGTTGGTGTCGTTACTGTATTTAATTTTTTCCGCTGCTGCTGCCTCTGCTACCATTGCTAATATTCGCCTATGGTTTGGCTTGTTTAAGACCGTAATCTCTTTTTTTTTTTTCAAAATCTAGTTCTTTTGTAAATATGATTGAAGTTGATGTTGTAATTATTTGTTTTTCTTTGTTTTTTTGCTGTTGTTGTGTGTTGTTTTGATTAGGAGTTAATTTCATATTGTTCATTATTTCGTTGTTCCTATTGTTTACGCTGCAGTTGTATTTTTGTTTTTGTGTATGCTCATCCGATATTCTACTTTATGGTTTTTTTTACATGTTTGTTTGCTTGTTCATTTGTTTGTTTGTTTGTTTTACTGATGCTGATGTCGCTGTGGTTATCAGTGCTATTGCCGTATTCTATCAAAATCATTTGGTATGCGTGCATTTGACGAGTTTGGTTTTCTACCCGACCCAAACATTCAGGCTCAACTTTACTGGACAGGTGCTTATTCTCCTTTAGTTACTTGAAAGTAATTCGAGGATCAAAACCTGTCGTCTTTTGATATAAAATTCTAACTCGTCACAGGAAGTACTGTTTCCATATTCCAAAAATGTCAAACGATTATGTTTAAAGTTTCCCTAAAATTCAACTGTTTCTGTAAAGTGATCCTGTTTGAGTAGATATAGGTTGTAAAATCTAGGCCAGACGGTTTTTACTTCTGGCTCTTGCGAATTTTATCACTTGAAATCTTCTCCTTAAGTAACTTTGTTTTACAGCAGCCAATCCCAAACACAGTTCTCAATGAAAGCTTAAAATAGTTAAACATAAGTGTTGACACTGTAGACATTTCTAACGCTGAACAACGTTGTAACTGGTATTATTTTATTTTCATCTCATACGAAGTACTACAAACCTCAGCATCCAAATATTTATTATAAATGGAGAAAAGTAGGTACTCTGAGAAATGCGTTTAAGACGACAGTATAAGAATTTTCCTCAAAATCGCCCGAAGAAAACTATTGATATCGCGATTATTCATTCGTTTAGTCAAATTCACCAAGTTCCTAAACTCAACAATGTTTCTCAGAGAACGCACGTTCTGCTTGCTTAAGCAATTTGCATGTTGCTGTGTCGATGCCATTGATGGGAAACGACGTCTTCAAATTTGCCAGGACGGAAGCTCTTATTGAACCCAGGGCTCCATTTGGAGGAACTACGTTGGCCTCTCTCTGGCGCCTGCCGATTTCGTGGAGACTTCATCTCAAGAATCAGATCACATCAGGTTTACTATCGACATTTTCTGGATAATCAGTTCTACATCTTTTGCCAATACGTGTTTCCTCCTGCCTTTACGTTTATAAAGAACAACTAAGTATAATTTATTGCCCTGCAATAATTCAACACATTCTTGTACATTCATGAGGAAGAAAACTCAATTTGGCAGGATCGATTGACCATCACGAGCTCTTCGAGACCTTGACCTTCAACTGACCAGAAAGCAATTACCTCAGTCGTGAAAAATACAGCAGATTTGATTGCTTTTTCAGTGACCATTATTGCTCATCTTATCCTTGTTGCTTCTAGTGTACTTTTAAAGACGTTCTCTTGATTAAATGTTGTTCTTTTGTTTGGGTATTGTTTTTCTCTTCATGTTTCATTTATTGATCATCATCATCATCATCATCATCATCATCATCATCATCATCATCATCATCATCATCATCATCATCATCATCATCATCATCATCATCATATATTCTCCGTATACAATAATGATGATTATGAGGAGGCCCAAGAGGCAAAACGTGGAGCTGTTTCAATACAACAAACTTTAAATATTTTATATTTTTATATTATTTTGTCTGTAAATCAACCAAGACTCTCCCTCCTACTCTGTTTTCCAAACAATGATGATGATGATGATGATGACGATGGTAGCACCATCATTATCCAGTAACTTTTCATCCTGTTTCTCTTTGCCCTCGTTGACATTATAGATCTCACGTTTCAATTAATAACCATTCCACCGATACGTAAAAGAGCTCATAAAACATATTACATTATGCTTTAAAAAATCCCACTCTTTCAAACCAGTACTTAGTTCTTTATTGGTCAAGCTAGAAGGTTTGGTGTTAGATAATAACGGCCTCTTTTTATGCATTTCTTTACTTCCTCCACGGTCAGTAACTCGTCCATATAATTTGTTCCCTCTTCAACTCTTTGGGAATAGCTGTCTGTAAAGAGAGTAGTACTGCTTGCCTTTATCAAATACACTTACCAAAAAGAATGATAAGAAAAAGAAATATATACGTATGTGTCTCTTGTATTTTCTGTGGTGTGTACACATAAAGCATCAAAACGTGGATACGTTTCCTTGGAAATAACGTTGCTTCATTGTCCAAATAATTGCATACATAACACTGCTGATAAATACCAGTTTGTAGAATAGAGTCTATATTTGGGAAAGGTGATGCGATGCGAGTATGGGTAATAAGGGGAAGGGTGAGAATGGCTGTTAGCTGTTTGCTGTCTTAATTCAATTATTATTTGGTTGGGTGGCCTACTTTGTTACACTTCTTGAAAACTGTCCATACTTGAGCTTATAATGATAATATTTGAGCTTTCTCTCTTGTAGTGTTACTTTACTATGTCCTCTTCTGAAATCTTATGTTTCCAAATTGTGTACTTTCGCCTCTTTCAGAATATCAAAACATAACGTTAAATAATTCGGCACCTTGGAAACATCCGCGTACTTTTCCCCAAAAACTACGACAGCTACAGAGTTGAACGTTGGCAAGTACTTGCAAAAATATAGATAAGTCCCCATGATGGAGCCCGAATTTTGATTTATTCATTTCATGAATTTAGAAAAATATATTTGACAAAAAGTTCTCGTCCTTCTTTGGCCTTAGTGATTATTCCGTTGAAAAACGAAACAAATCTGCGTAGCTCTGTCCTCCACAGCCGAAGTGCCGGAAGTGATATTTCGCGAAGCGCATTTTGGTTTGAGAGTATAGTCTATCTTGATTCTAGACCTTCTAATTTTATTGCATCTCTCTAGATCTATTGCTGCATTCCAATAGAGTGTAAAATAGTAGGCCAATGACTTTTAGTTGGCGTTAATACACCGATCATTCCTTTCATCGAAAGTGGGCCCAGCTAGTAAGATATATGCATAAGTAATTTTTAGGCATTTTGGGAAAATGAGAAAAAAATGTTTCTTGTAAACAACTGTCTCTGTGAAACGCTTGAATTTTTGTACAATCCATTGATGTCATATTTGGATGATTTTGTTGTCCAAGTGAATTATATTACAAAGCTGGCGCTGCTCTTCATTTCAGAACCAAAAACTCCGAACAGGACAAAAATGACTTCGAAAATTTTCTTATGAGCTTGACGATAAGATCGGAGTGAAATTATACAATACAAATAATTGAACCTGACTGCATCGATTCTAATGCCACTGAACAGAAGGATAAGATAGTACATAACAAGATGGTCAACTCAGCCAAAAACGTGTCCGCCGGAAGTCCGCTCTTTCCTTCAGATGGCGCTGCAGTTTGTTTTGAAGGTCTTTTTTTGCTTCTCCAGAAGAAGAATAGGAATAGCACCTCCTTGCGTGCGCAGATCAACTGCTGTTCATCAGCTATTCGGGTTCATTCAGTGCGAAGTTTTAAGGTTTTGTTTTTATTTTAATGACCTCTCGCCTTTCATTCTAAAGTCAAATTAAACGAAGAAAACAGTCACTCCTTCCTCCGGAAGAGGTTTTTTGTTAGAGTAACCAATTCTAAAAAGCGCTCTTCTGAAATTTGAATTCTTATTTATTCAAAAACTTGTTAGTTTCACTTTGATTTTTTAACACAAGTAGGGTAACTCTGTTCGCAAAGGGTGCGCATTTGCGAAGAGGGCGCCACCGAATTTTGTGGACACTTTTTAAATTGGCTCAAAGAGAGGAATTGACCATCTTATTACGTAGACTCTTTGCAGAAAGATAAGAATAATATGATAATAGCATGCCACTTAATTTCTAATCGATTACTTCAAAGAGAACAAACTAATTAAAAACCTATTTTTTGGGGGGGGAATACGCGGCTAACCCGTGTAAAAGTTTGGTGTTCTCCGTGACGCACATTATTTTCATTTTCTGCGGAATAAATAAAACGTTGACTATAATATGTTAAGACTCCCCAACAATGTGCTTGTCTTGAATGTTTCAAGAAACATCAGCTGACAAAAAGAAATTTATTTTACCATCTATGAAACTTAAAAGGGTGAAAGGGCATTTGAATACCAAGGCCCCAAGATCTGAAATACTTTACCAAGTACTTTAAGTTTAAGAGAGATCAAATCTTTTGATTCATTCATAATATGTCAGCTGAGGTCGTTTCTGTTTGTAAATTAATAAGATGAATATTCGGAGTAGTTTTCTTTTAATCAGAACACGTTTTATGTTATTATTGTACGCTCTACTACTGTATTGCAAAGCGCCCAGAGCCTGTGTACTTTAATTGGGGTTGAGCGCTATATAAATGTCATTTATTGTTATTATTATTATTATTATTATTATTATTATTATTATTATCACAAATAAAATGTGTTGTGAAAGAACAGAAAAGACAGTTTATTTATTAGGGGAAGATGACGTGCTAAACAGTTGTTTCCAACAGTGTGTGGTTAACACTCACAATTCTTTGAACCCCGAACAAGCTTGATAAACCAAATAGCTATTAATGCTATAAACAGCGCCCCCCCCCAACCTTCCCCACCTTCACATGAATATAATTTTCGGCAGTAAGTATGATAGTGTACAAGTCTAATAGAGCAGCCAGGACGAATATTTCAAGACCATTACGCTGTAAGCAACTAGCTACGGTTACGTTTGTCACATTATACGATTTCTGATCTGGGGACAATACCCAATAGAAAAGTTTGATTATTTGAGCTCTCATGGGGCCCTAATTTTGTATCAAAAGTTGTGTGCCTGTGGCATTACATGTATACTTAAACATTGCAGCCCTAATCAAATCAATGTATTAACATGCTTTGGTCTTTAGCGCTTATGCATTATTTCAAACTTGGCGCTCATTTGACTTTATGCGGTTGCGAGCGCCGTAAAACCACTACTAAAACCAACAATTATTTCAAAACAATTGGCCCATTTCAATGACCAGGGTAATGGTGACCTTCAGGTCACGTTTAATTCGGATCTGCCTAACAAACATGTCTGAGCTTTTCCTTCCCATGGCATAACAGTTGACGTTACAGTCCAGTAGTATGGGGGGTGGGTTGGGGGAGTGGGGGGGGGGGGTCGTACAGCGGTCACTGCTACTAGGGTAGCTCAGGAAAAGTGAGGGCAGTCATTACTTACGGCCACAAGCGGTCATTTTATCGAGAACACCCGAGGTGACAGTGTGCGGATGTCGATGAATAACTGACCAAGTTAATAACTGGTTCCAACAAACACGACCAGAACAGGATCCGCTGATGGCTGTGTAATCCCAGGAGTAAGTTTATCCTAGTAGTCGGGTGTGCATTATCAAGTGGAGTCACAAATATAGCCAATCGGCCATTGAACCCATATCAAGTAGAATTAGAAATTAGTAAACTTATCCAGGAAATATAAGGACAAGTATAAAGATCGGGATTCCCAATAAAAAATGTTTTTAAAAATATCGGCAGGCTGTATTCCCCATTTGAGCAGACTTGGTGGATTTGGATGATAAGGTAAAATTCGATCCTTAAGTTTCTCAGATAACTATTGTTTGTTGTTGTTGTTGTTGTTGTTGTTGCTGTTGTTGTTGCTGCTGTTGTTGTTGTTGTTGTTGTTGTTGTTGCTTTGTTTTCGAATTTCTATCAACTACCCCGTACGACTATTACGTTAGTAATAATTTTGGACAAAAACAGCAGACAGAACTTCCAGAAGAGGCGTTGTCAAGCAGAACAAACATGGCACATACATTCACACAAATACCTAGCACACTAATACACACTCACACAGGGATGCACGTACGTAAGTAACCAAACAGTGGCATAATCAAGGAGAAAAACGTTTGTCTCATCAAGAATCAAGGTTTCATTTCCAACAACTTTTAAGTGAAAGTAGAACTTTGTGAGTGTTTCCGGCACTATAAGGTTAACATACCCCTCCAACTTCCAACGACAAAGACTTGATTTTAAAATACTCAACATTTAGAGCACTTCGCTCCCAAAATTGTTCAACAATTAACAAGTAAAGTCAGTTCGACTGCCGAAACCACTATACCCAGATTTTCCCTTGTTCATGTACGGGCATGATGGTGAATTCGAAAACAAATCCATCAGTAATAACAGCTACAGCAGTTTTTCAAAGTGTGTTACGGCGCGTGCAACTGCATAAGGTCAAAATATGATCGTGCGTGGCACATTAAACATTTTCAAGTTTCAGTTTGGTAGGAATTCATTTCGAATTTTACCAGGGTGCGACCGAAGCCTACTCTTATCGATTTTATGACCACCTAGGGATCTATAACATGTACAACTTGTACACGGAACCTCCGAGAGCGCTAAATGTTAGATCTTATCTATCATAAGAACAGGGGCGTGGCTGAAAGACAGCAATAAGAAGGAGCCAATGCGTCACTGTAGAAAGGCTGTAGAAAGAGTCGGAGGCCTGGAGGAAGGGGAAAAAGGTGGGGAGGGGGGGTTGTGCAGAAAGTGGAAACGAAAGCAGACGACCGAACATAGTTAGAGAGCAGGAAACGAGGTGAAAGGAGAAAATTTGTGTGTGTGCCTATAGAAAGGTACCAAAAGTCGCCGCAGACCATACATTTGAGCTCCAGGTTGAAAATGACAAAAATTTACTTTTTTGATCAAAAAGTGTTTCCACAATAAAATGATAGTTCCACCATTTTTTAACAATGTGTTAAAAGGGTTTTCATTGATTTGACTTTTAAATATTTTATTTTGAATACTTTTGAAACTAGGGTATTTTTTAAAGTAATAATGTGTCCTAAACTTAAAAGTTAATTTTCTCAAATTTAGTTTTTTAAACCCTCCTTCACAAAATGTGCAATATCTCAAAAAACTATTTTGAGATATCTCAAAAATTCAAAAAACCACCGTGTTCAGCATTGAATTGCCTATAACGTACAACCCTTAACTCCAAATGATCAAACTCCGATTTTTGGTACCTTTCTTTAGACACACACACATTTCAAGATAAGAAAATGTTCTGTCGCTGTCAGGTTTCGAACCCAGGACCAGAGACCGTAGCCCAGGACAATTAAAGTGGTGTTTCTCTCTCTCTCTCTCTCTCTCTCTCTCTCTCTCTCTCTCTCACTTATTCACCTCTCTCACTCACTTATTCTCTCTCTTTGTCTCTCTTTCTCTTTCTCCTCAATTTCTCTCTCTTCCAGGGAAGATGAATCCGTCTCATGTTATTGGATAATTTATTTTAAGTTGAACAGTCAGCACATATACCTGGGATTTCAAAGAAAGTGATAAGCTGAGGAACTCTCAAAATTGTTTCAAGAATTAGATTTATTTTGAACTGAAATGAAATGAACGAGAAGCCAGCTTCGAAATTCACCATTTTAGTTGTCAACACAGCCTTACATTGAAGATCAAGTTTATGTGCATCACGTAATAGCATTCTGAACTACTCGTTTCACTGAACACTTTCCACTTTCTCTCAGTCAAGGCAGGAAACAATCGAATTGATTTACCTTCCCATTTCAGAACAAATGATTTACCTTCCCACCGTATGTCTATCAAGAAGAAAAAAAGATGCGTGAATAGATCCAGCAATTACAACAACAAGCAAAAACATGGATTATTATTATGTTCTCTCTCTATCTGTCTATCTATATCTCTCTCTCCCTCTCTCTCGCTGTCTCTGTTCTTCCTTTCTACGTCACTGTTCACTGTCTCGTACGTATTATAGATACAGCCGCTGTAGCATGCATGTAGCCACTTCAATAATAACTCACGTGCACACATCAATTTGTCTTCATTCTTAAAGTCTCCCTTCTTATCATAAGCTCTTTTAATTTTATATGCATCAATAGAGCTGGTCTGTCATTTTTTTTCTCGTTCAAATCATTTCACACATGTCGAAAAGAAGCTCGAGCTCTAAAAAGTGTCCACCGCTCCTGACGGCTACAAGACCCAGGGACAGTATTATGAAAATAGAGAACACAAGTGCTAAACATATCTATGTACATTTTTACAACAGTATGCAACATACCAATGGCACACTTAGAAGTCAGCAAATTAACGCTACAACCAGATTACACCAAAGTTAGGATCGTAGCATCATTGAGGTATTTTCCTCAAGCAAACGTGAAAAAAAGTAAATGAAATTGGGTTTTTTTTTTCTCATGAAGCAATACTTGTTGATGTGAACAAATAAAAGGCGACTTAAATTGGAATGCATGCTATCAGATATATTATTATTTTGGTACTAATACAAAATGAAGAAGAATGTTTATTCTTAGCGATAATCATGAACAAAATGATTACACACTCTAATATTCACACCTATTGAATCCACTATCTCACTTCGTATGCCACATCTCATTCCTCACCTAGGCTTCTTTTTCACAATCTCTCTATCTATATAAGGCAATGTGCCATCATCGGTCACAGAATCTTTGGTATGTAATCACTAAAACTGGAGAAACAGGTCCCTACAGTTTTACATCCTTTCAAAACATCCACATACTCTATGTGTATCTCACGTATGATCATAATATGTTCTTTAAATCATCCCCACCCAGTCCCTTGCGGTTATTGCATTCGTGAACTTAATGAGGCTAGATCATATGCCCCCTCTTCAAGGATTTCCTACTTCAAATGAAGATAGCATCGCATGTAGGCCTCAAGCGTCTTCCCCAAATACACTTGAAAAAGAATGAGCAAAAAGAAATAAGAAGCTGTTTATGGTGGAAGTTTCAAACAGCAGATATCCTCTCTACTGTTTGTAATGTTTGAGCGTTCTGGCAGAAGGGTCCTCAGCGGTGGACCAGCGGGGCATCCAGAAGTAGGGGATCCAGTGGGACTTGTGCGGGTAATGCTTCTCAAACACTTGGCGGTAATACAACGCCTCCTTGGATTTTGGAGGGTTGTGGGGGTACAGCGACGCTGCCTCGCTCAAAGTGCTGTCATTGATCTGAAAGTGGAAGAATATTCTTTGTTAAGAAAAGTGTAAGTTAGAGTAACGAGATTGTTTTAGTAAGAATTTTACGGCTCTTGCAACATTATACGGTCATATGAGTGCTGAAGATTAGAGGTGTTAAAAGAGAGTAACAAACACAAGAAAGAAGGAGGGGAGATAAAGACTGTAGATGATTGATAGGAAAGAAGAAGCAAACCACACCAGAGCACCCGTCAACCACCCACGCGAAAAGAGAAGAACATCGACACAATAACTATCATTTAGTGTACGGAAAAAGCTTGATAAACAGAAAAAACAGAGGGAATAGAAAGATAAAGAACCTACCAGTGGTGCCTCCAAGCTTCCCGTTTTGTTGATATCAGAGAGCATCTTTTCGTAAATATCACACTCACAGACGGTGAAAAAGAGGAAACGCATTAAAGGAAACAAATGGAGAAAACAGACATCACTTTCTATACTATCTATTCAGAACACGTACAACATTACCCAAGTGGGCAAAACAGCTTATTGATTTTCTTAAAAGTGTAAAATATTTGTAAACTGTTTAATTTAATCCCATCTCGTCGTTTGACTTCATTCTCATTTCTCTTTGTTTCCCCGAGCCGCCCCTTTTCACCCGACTAAAGTCACACCCGAGCAGACAGACTGCCTTCATAAGTTATTTACCCTCGCGCAGGATCTCAATTCATGGCGAACTCAAAAACCCGACCGGTCACCAGCCACTCACACGAGCACCAGCTGGGAACAATCTTTCTTCTTGTTGTATGTGGTTTGTACTCATCTCTTCTACATCGTTGTTTTCTCTCTCTCTCTCTCTCTCTCTCTCTCTCTCTCTCTCTCTCTCTCTCTCT